CATCCCTAACATTCATTCTAAGATTCCACTATGACTGAGAACAAGTATAGCAGAGAGCATCTATGGAGAACTACAGGAAATTCATAACGTGTCTGAAAGATTCTTTACTTCAGCCCTGGTCACCTAGACAGTAATTTCTATAAATCGGTACATACAATCCGATTTTGGACCATGACCCTGTAAAACGGCAAATAACGACTTTGACATTGCAATCTTATCTTTTATAAATGGCGTAATATATAAATAGATACTCAAACTTGGCCTCAACTGGCAATAAAACACTCAAACTTTGAGATTGCTTATCTAGGCACCTCAATTTGGTCTAAACTGACAACTAAACACTCCAACTAGTCCCCACTGTGTCTCATAAACATCTAATGGTGACGTGGCACATAAATTTTGGAAGTGTCTAGATGATCATTTTGTAAGTTGGAGCGTTCAACTAATACATTGGATACAAGATGAGGTGCCTAGATGTGCACTCTCAAAGTTTGAGTGCTTAATTGTCATTTGAGACCAAGTTTGAATGCTTATTTGTGTATTGTGCCTTCATAAATTGATGCCAAATAGAAGAAAAGAGCAACAACAGGAGATAAATGAAAAACCCTAACTGCTGAGGCCAAGGTCCTACTTTTGTTAAGTCTGTACAATGACAAGAGAAGCTAACATGAGTAAACAAGATAAGCACATGTCGATACACAGATAAATAGAACTATCATGATCAGATGAACGAAATCAACCCACTTTAAACATTAATCCATTAACTTGGTTTCACCCATGCAAGTCTTTTCTCCATTCAGCTCAAACTGTCCTCTTTTCTCCACTCTTTCCATGAGTATTAGTAAAGCACTTGAACAATCTTAATCAATTTTTACATGAATGAGCATTTAAGAGACACTACATAAGCCAATTTTTTGCATTTCCTCATTTCTTATTTCATTTTTTTTTCTTGCACCCAAATCCATCTTTGATATATCAATTTTAGAATAAATTGTAAGCTCGTTGCATCTGGTTTTCTCAATCTTCTTTCTCAAGAGAAGGTCTTAACACGTGAAAAACGAGAGACATCTCGCAGGTATACACAATAAAACTTCATGCTTTTAGTAGCAAAACACGAAAAAATAAATATAAGAGAAAAAGCAATGTTTACTAATATAACATCTCTAGACACACTGATTGAAACTAAAAATATAAATACAACACACAAACTTCATCTAAATGGAGGAAACTCAATGAACATCTATTAACATCAACCACCTTGAATTATTAAAACCTAATTCAGCACAAAAGGAAAGCACTAACAACGGCAGATTATAGTGCTAGCAGCGGGTGCACCCACATCTAGTAGACTAGAAACCATCTTCTCCAACTATATATATAGCTGAGATTTCTTTTAAACATATATACATAGACTATATCTGCAGCTATTGCTATCTGCATCCACTCACTTAAAATCTTGAATCCAACTCTAAACATGAGTACACGATATAGATGCAAACATCAGTGCATTGAAAAACTTGATAAAACAACAGAAATCTGTTTAAAAAAGGGACTTTAGGCCTAACTCAACCCAAAATCTTAGCTCAAGAGCTTATGATACAATTTCCTCATCCCACCACTCAACACCCCACAAAATGGACTTTCAACCTAACTAAACAGCAAAAGCTAGCTCGACAGATGAAAATTACCCAACACAATATAAAGGAATCTAATTTATTCATTCCACCCGATTTGGGACTCAACA